TTTGGAGGGCAAAGTCGTTAGGCAAGAAGGTGTGCTCGCCCGCAAGCGGATTCCTTTGTAAGGAATATTCTGCTTTATTCTGCCCACGCAGGGAAGCAGAGGAGCCGCAGGCAGCCCGAGATCAGGGCGTGCCAGACACCCCGTAAACCTGGAAGGAACTTTGCTGGACCTGCCAGACCACAGCTGAGGCGAGACAGAGCCCTGAAGCCCAGCTTCCAGAACACTGGAAAAAAAGCACGGGGAGACATCATGTGAAAGGTCAAGAGACAGTGCCTCCCTGACCGCTCCCTCTGGAACAGGTCCTGAGCCATCTGCCTGCTTCTTTAGAGACTGTCGCCAGAAAAAGGAGCCCAGCATTTCGATATGGAAAGTGAGCTTTCCTCTGTGCAAAATAGAAGACCTGAGACAGACAGACACGCCCTGAGAGAGCGCTTCCTCCTCGGGCCAGCCTTGAAAGCACAGTCTCTCATCAAGCCCTCTGCTTCCTCTGCATCCAGCGAGCCCCTCCCACAATTCTAGGGTGTCATTGCCACCTGCCTCTCAGCTACAAAGGACAAGACTGGGCTGAATTTACTGCCTGGTTATGCGAGAGGGCCTGGCACTGGGGTGGCCCAGTCAGCTGAAGTGCCCACCATGCTTTGGCCATCCAGAGGCGACTCCTTCCATTTGGCACAAAAATGAGTTAGGCCAGGCACGGTGGCAGCATGGGAGGCTGAGGCAGGTGGATCACGAGTTCAAAGCCAGCCTTAGCAAAAGCAAGGCTCTAAGCAACTCAGTGAGACCCTGTCTCTAAATAAAATAAAAAATAGGGTGTGGGATGTGGCTCAGTGGTTAAGTTCCCTTGGGTTCCCCAGCATCCACCTCCCCAAATAAAAGTGAGTTAGCAGGGCCAATAAGACCCTAGGCCCAGTCACTCAGCTCCCCTCCCCTGAGGACTTGAAGTTTCATTACCAATGGTCTGTGTGACAGTGAGCCATGAAACAGGTGATTCCTGGCCCTTGGGTCTGTGTGCAGAGGGGCCACAGAGGGTCCTGGGAGGCCCAGCAGGGTCAAGCAAGGGTCCTCAGGCAGTCTCCAGATGAGGGCCTTCACTCTACACTTTCTGAAATTTTAACATGTGAATGTATCACCCATTCAAAATCTAAACTTAAATTACACTGTAAATGGATGTTTAAATTCAACTTAAAATAGATACAACATTTCAGTCACCTAGCCCCGGTGACCAGGGCTGCCCTGGCTGAGTATTATGAACTGGGGCTTAAAATAACCGAATTTTTTTCCTCTCAACTGTCCAGATGTCCAAAATCAGAATCAGTGGGTAGGAACCCAGGTGTGGGCAGGGCGATGCTTCTCCAGAGGCTCCAGGGGAAACCCTCCTGCCTCCCCCAGTTTCCTGTGGCTTCCTCTGTGATTCGAGGCCACAGTGCCCCACCCTGCCTGCGTGGGCCCACATCCTCCTCCTCTGTGTGTTGCCCAGCCCCTCCCCATCCCCTCACCCCCAGCAAGGACACATGGGACAGTTTTCAAAACATGCCTGAAGAATCCAGGATCATCTCCCACCCGGACCCTTGATTTAGTCACATTTGCAAAGTCCTTTCATGCTTATGTAGGAGACATCCCCAGGGCCCAGGGGAGTTGGGTCATGAGTATATTTGGGGGGCCTACCTCCCTACTGCCCCTCACTAGAGCCTGAAGTCCTTCAGGGTGGGAGGTCACCCCTGGCCTCCAGTGATGGGGGATCTTGCTGAACAGTCTTCTTTAAATCTGAGCCTAGGGCTGAGGATGTAGCTCAGTTGGTAGAGTGCTTGCCTCGCATGCACAAGGCTCTGGGTTCAATCCCCAGTACCATCAAAAAAAGGAAAAAAAAAAAAAAAAAAACTCTGAGCCTAAACCCTTCTCCCTGAGCAAAATAGCTCAGGACACCACCTTGTTCAGAAACTTCCAAGGAGGCTGCATAACCCAGGAATCAGAGAAAATGACTCCATGTTTCCTTGAACATAAATAACTTCTAGGGTGGGGATATCATGGGCTCCACATGAGTACTGGCCACATGTGGACCCTTCTAGCACACAGAAAACACGAGAGGACAAGGGGACTGACTGCATGCTCCTTGCCCAACGTGCCCCTCAGTGCCACAGTCCCCACCCTGTGATGTTTCCTGGGATCCTGGCAGTCACAGGTACAGCAAGGATCGATTAAACCATAGCTCTACACCATGCTACACCAGCTCTTATGGAACAAGCTCAGGGGTCCAAGCTCAGGGGTCACAGGACACTGGACCAAGCTGGCAGGAGCAGTGGGCAGAGGGGGGTTCTCCACAGCAATGTGAGAGGTCGGGAATCACAGCCCTACACAGAGCTCCTGCAGGCCGCCCACTGGCCATTCTGGGTGAAAACCCGGCAAAATGTACTTTATAAAAGCCTTTGCGCACCCTGCAGGATTTGAGAGTCCAATCTCCTGGACCCAGAGCTGCTCTGGGAATGTCTGCTGTGTAAAAACCCTCTGCTTTGCTCTTTGAGGAAACACTGTAACATCAGAAATCAGAAACCTAGGAGAACTTGGCAAAGGGGGAGGTGAAAAAAATTGATTCATTTTTACAAAGCAACACTGCAAATGCTAAAAAAGAAAATGAGATCTACACTTTTAGAAGGCCTCCTAGAGCATCATCAGTATACCAAGCACAGCGTTCATAGCTCGGTACATCAGGCATGTCCTGATGTTGGGTGAAGGATTCCCACATGCATACTTCATTTTTTTGTTTTGTTTTCTTTTGTAGTATTGGGAATTAACCTAAGCATCACACATGCTAAATAAATGCTGTACCACTGAGCAACATCTGCAGCCACCCCCCTTTTTAAATTTTGAGACAGGGCCTCCCTACATTGTCCAGACTGGCCTCAAATTTGTAAGCCTCTTGCCTCAGCCTCCTGAGTTTCTGCGATTACTGGTGTGTACCATACTGTCGGTCCCCATGTAAGCTTAGGTGGAGAGATGCATGCAAACCCAGAGAATAGCCTACAAGGACCATCCCAGCCCACTGCTAGTGGTTCCTTGGGGAGTAGAACAAAGAGTCTTTTCTCAAATATTGTATGTTATTTGGATTTTGTCTGGAACTTTTAATAAAATGTGATCAGTTGATCTAATGAAGAATTACAACTTACCAAAAATATTTTTTTTAAAAAAAAGTAAATTTTAAAATATTACTCACGCTTTGATCTTTGTCAAGGAATTTATTTTGAAGAAATAAATGGACAAGAACTCAATGATGACCACCCGGTCATCAAATGGTTGTTTATAATATTAAAAATGCAAATAGCCATCGTAGGAAGGCAGCTAAAGTGTAGCAATTTTGTAGAAATTGACTTTTTTAAAAAACACTAAAATATCTTTATTGACAGAGAAAGAGATTCAGGACATCCAAGGTATGACAGTATATGGAATGAGATTCTGTTCTGTGAAGGTCCGTGGAGAGAGGGTTTGTGCAGGAAAGTAACCCTAAAGACGGTCCCAAAATGCTCCAGGGATTATCTTTGGGAGTCAGGAGTCAGGGGACATATTTACTTTTTTGCTTTATCAAAAATTTCTGGGGCTGGGGATGTGGCTCAAGCGGTAGCACGCTCGCCTGGCATGCGTGCGGCCTGGGTTCAATCCTCAGCACCACATACAAACAAAGATGTTGTGTCCGCCGAGAACTAAAAAATAAATATCAAAAAAAATTCTCTCTCTCTCTCTCTCTCTCTCACTCTCTTTAAAAAAAAAAAAAAAATCTGGGTTTTCCAAGTATTTCTATGATCAACTTCCCAACCACAGCATTTGAACCCCTGAAGCTCACAAGTCCCTCTTCTTGGAACATCCTGGCCTCCTGCCTACTCACCAAGACTCAGCCACCCTGGCCTGAGTACTATGAACTGGGACTCCAAGGACAAGTGGAAGAGTGGGGTATGTATTTTTGTCCATCTTTGCAAGGGCCAGGCAGGTCCTAGCATATGGAAGGTACTGGAACAGTCAGCCTAACAGGGGAAAAACAGGTGTGAGTGGTGGGAACATGAGGTTAAGGGAATAATTCTATAATCTTGGCCCACAGTACTGACCCCCACATGCTTTCTTTTCCAAAAAGCAATTTACCTGCAGCCCTGCCTGGCTTAAGTAGACAGGATATGTCACATTCCTCAGCAAACTACCTGTTATCTGCCGGAGAAATGCAGGCCCAAAATAATGTTGATAAGAGGAACACAAGTTACCCTGAAGGGGGACACTTTTGTGACCCTTTACACAAACCAGATCCTGGAACTCAGGGAGATAAGGATAATTTCTCCTAGCCATAAAATCTGTAACAATTTATGATTAAGAATCCAATTAAAACTGGTCAGCATGGGCCAAAGTGACCTAGAGTTGTCATGGCGGTGGGGACTTGAAAGTTTGATGTCATTCTACTATCAGTCAAATGTCAAGAGGTGGACCTGGGCAGGACTCTCTAGAAACTTCTCCAGGATCCCCAATAAAACTGGGGGGGCAGGAGAGGCATGCTGTCCCTTTCTTCTCTGAGAGGACCCACTCTCTCCTTGGAAGTATCTCCTTTTCTTTTTCTTATCCTTTCAATAAACTCCTGCCTGTCGCTCTGAGCGACACGTCTGAAATCTTTCTGACTTAATTGCAAGAATTGGGGTTTAGTGGGGAGGCGTCTTTGTACCGCCTCAGTTTCCCAGAAAGCCCCAGCCCTGTATGATGAGGGCAAAAAGAGGCACCATGGTATGTTTCCAGGACTGGCTTACCATGTGGGAGTCATGCATCCAGGCCTAGGATTTGAGGGTGGCAGTGGGGCGCTGCCAGGAACAAGACAGCTCTCCTGAGCAGGACCAGGGGCACACAGCACAGTATTTCCAGAAGTCATTCCTGCCTTGGGAGCCCATGGTTCCGGCACTGGTGTGATTCCCGAAGTGAGGTGTGGGACCAGAGCAGCTGCCGCAGAAGAGAGGGACCGAGCCCTTCACCACACCTACCTTCTCTCATTGTCGTCCAGGTGAGCAAAGAGCACGTTCTTAGAGATGGCTTTGGCCAGCGCAGTCATGGTCTTGTAGTCCTTGGGAATGACCTGCAAGGAAGCCAAGGAGAGTAAGGAGACAGGGCACAGGGTCTGGTGCCAGAGTTGACTTCAGACTCCTGCTTGGCCCTGGGGCTGTGACATGGCTTGAAATCAAACTCTTCAGCTTCTCATATGGGGCTGCTCTCAGAAGATGCCAAAAAGACACGGTGTGTAACTTGATAAGTATGTCACAATTTTTTAATTGTTTAAAATAAATAAAAGATAAAGAACCTGAAATGGCCCCAGAGGAGGCTCAGGCACCATCTAGAATCTGGGATCATTGCTGACTGGCTCTGCTGGACTTTCAAGCCACCTGGAAGGTGCTATGACATCCAGTTGTGAGGTTACGGTCTTTTCTTGATTCATTTCACTGGATTTTTAAAAAGATAACAAACACAGCTTGGCACAGTGGCACACTCCTGTAATCCCAGAAGCTCAGGAGGTTAGACACAAGGACCGAGAATTCAAAGCCAGCCTCAGCAACTTTTTAAATTAATTAATTAATTTATTTATTTTTGTGGTGCTGAAGGTTGAACCCAGGGCCTCGTGCATGCGAGGCAAGCAATCTACCAACTGAGCTACATCCCCAGCCTCAGCCCTAAGTAATTTAATGAGATGCTATCTCAAAATAGAAAAAGGGCTGGGGATGTGGCTCAGTGGTTAAGCACCCCTGGGTTCAATCCCCAGTAGCAAAAACAAACAAACAAAAGAATAAACAGTTGTTTAGAATTTTAAAAGCTAAAAGAATTAGAAAACTTGCTGGATGCAATGGCACACACCTGTAACTCAGGAAGCTGAGGCAGAAGGATTGTAAGTTTGAGGCCAGGCTCAGCAAATTAGTGAGACCCTGTGTCAAAAAAGAGCTGAGGAATGCAGCTCAGTGGTAAAGTGCCCCTGGTTCAATCCCCAGTACCAAAAAAAAAATTGGGAGAGGGATGGGGAATTGAACTCTGGGGCATTCGACCACTGAACCCCCTCTCCAGCCCTATTTTGTATTTTATTTAGAGACAGGGTCTCCCTGAGTTGCTAAGTGCCTCACTTTTGCTGAGGCTGGCTTTGAACTCGAAATCCTCCTGCCTCAGCCTCCCAAGCCACTGGGATTACAGGCGTGCACCAGTGCACACGGCTCAAAAAATATTTCTTAAATAGACAACTCAGTCGTGCTTGGAAGTGTACCCACTGTGATGCTGACCCAGGGAGGAGGAAAGGACACGGTGAGAAGAGAGAGGGGATAAATGGGGCGGGCAGACATCTGGGCTGCCATGGCCAGGAATGCAAGAAGGCATCAGCAGTGCCCTCTGCTCCCGTGGGGATTCAAGAGCCACCTGCAGGAGCTCTGGATCCACGTGCTGACCAAGGGGTTCCTGAGCGAATGGAAAGCACTGCCGTCCCCCTCTCCCCCCAACAATGAGCAGCTACCACGCAGGCCCTGTTTGTGGTGCAGACCTAGAAGGCTGCCTGGGCCATGGCGAACCGCACCTTGAGCTCCAGCCACCCCAGAAGGCTTGGAGGGGACAGGTGCACAGGATATCCAACACCACGTAGCCCTTTGAGAGATGCCTCTGAGAGACTGGACCGAGGTTCCCATGAGCCCCTACAGTTCTAGCAGACGTGTTAAAAAGCATCTTTTTTATTTTGGAACAGATTCTACTCACATAAAAGTTGTGAGGACAGCACTGGACACCACCCCCGGGTTCCCCTTCTGTCGGCATCTGACTTCACCTGGGTGCATTCGCAACAACTTTGGAACCAGCCCTGGTCCACAATGTGTAGCTGAACTCCACCCCTGATTCTGACTTCCTGAGTTTTCAGACGGCCTTCCCCTGCCTTGGGACCCTGGCCAGCAACATTCAGTGGTCCCGCCTCCTCCGTCCCCTCTTGCCTGTGGCATCCCTCAGAAGTCCCCTGCTTGATGAATACAGGTCACATCCCCACCTTGGGATTGTCTGTGCTTTTTCTTGTGCTTAGATTACAGATCTGAGGAGGTTTTGTTTTCTGGGTTTTTTTGTTTGTTTGTTTTTTGGAGGGGGGACCGTGGATGGAAGGTGTCTGATGGATTTTTAAAATCATACTTTTACTAGTTTTTGTGATCTGATCATAAAGAATTAAGCACTAGGAAGGAGACCACACAGGGAGCACAGCTTCCATTCTGCAAGATGAAGAAGGTGCTGGTGGTGGGTAGTGGTGCTGCCTTTACCCTCTGTGTCCCTGAACTGTCTCAGGAGGGTCTGAACTGGGGCCCCAGATTCCTGTGCTCCAGCCCTAACCACCAGGGTTCTGGAGATGGGGGCGTTTTGATGAAGTCATGAGGGTGATCCTGGGTATGTCGGGATCAGTGTCCTAAGGAGACACCAGAGGCCTGCAGCAGGACAGAACCATATAGTCCCTCCAGCCACCCTGGTGAGTCTTGTCCTTCCCTAAGCCGGTCAGAATCCTAAAACAGAGACACCTCTCCAAAAAGTTCAACCCATAAACACGCTCTCAGTTCATGCTGGTAGAGATGATGTGACTCCAATCCTGATGGTGACCACGTCTCCCCTCCCATCTGTGATCAGATAGGAAACCAGGGCCCCCAGGCACCATGGGTTCCTTGGGGATCTGGTGTGTGAGAGCCCCAGGCTGAGCCCTCACCTTCCTGACATAGGACACTGCATCCTCCTCTGTGTAGACCTCCGCGCTCACACCCCCTCGCCGGCGGCGGGCCTTCACCACGGGGTTTGGGGGGGTCGGAGACACCTCCTCATCGTGGGACTCTGGCTGCGAGTTTGACTTCTGCCGGGCCAGAATCTGCCTGTTTTCTTCCTGTACAGGGAGAAGAAATGGGGAAAGGAGGTGAGAACATGGTCAGGACATAGCCAAACCCTAGGAATTTGTTGAAATGGGAGGAAAGGTCTCTAGGGGTCCCAAGGGCAAGGACAGGGACCCACCATTTATCTCACAAGCTCCTGGTCACCATCACCACTGCCAGAAACCCCTGCCTCAAGCACCTTTGATGACTTCCATCTGACGACTCCTAGTCTTGAAGAATGTCTCCTCCAGACTGGCCATATATATCCCCTGACCAATTCAGACACCTACGCGACCCCACCCCGCTCCTGGGTTCTGGCTCCTGCATGGACTTCAAGGGCATCTCCAAGTCCACCTGTTCCAAGCTGGATGACTGCGCCAGCCACAGTGCCCTCACCCCAGGCCACTTCTTGTTCATTCACACAGTAAGCACTATTTATCTCTGGGCCTGTTGGGTGAGTCTAAATGCCTGGTATCAACCTCTCAAGTCTGAGGCTACCAATTCAGTTTCTGAGACCCCCACAAGGGGCTCTGCTCATCCCATACCCTGGTACCTGACTCACAATAAACATTGGGAAGTATCTGTGGGTGCCTCACCAAGGCCCTCAGCAACTCAGCAAGATTCTGTCTCAAAATTAAAAAGAAAAGGACTGGGGATGTGGCACAATGGTAAAGCACCCTTGGGTTCAATCCCCAGCACCCCAAAATAAAAAACTGCAGTGCCCCACCATCACAGTCTAAAGAGTGTTCATGTTCACCTAGAACCTCAGAATAGGACCTCATTAGGAAATAGGTTTCTGTAGCTATGACTAAGGCAAGAATTGAGAAGAGGTCATCCAGAATTTGAAAGGGCCCTCAACCCAATGGTAATGTCCTTATAAGACACAGGAAATAAGTCAAAAAGACACAGAAAAGCAGCCACATGAACACACAGGCAGAGATCAGAGTGACAATTCTTGAGACAAGGAACACCTGAGGCCACCAGAAGTCAGAAAGCAGCAAGAAAAGGTCCTCCCCTGGAGCCTCAGGAGGGAGCACAGCCCTACTGACACCTCATTCTCAGGTTCCACGCCTCCATGACTGTGAGAGGAAAACTTACTGATCTACACAGCTGGAGGCTACACCCCGCAGAGGCCAGCCCTGCTCAAGGTCATGCAAAGTCATTCTGCCCGTGGTGAGTGAGCATCCTCCCCTGGACCTCCACAAAGGGCCTCAGTTGAGGAAGCCACTTGCCCCAGCCTTATGCATGAACATGGAGGCCAGGAGAGGCCACAGGAGTCCCACAGCCCTGAGCCACCAGGTCCGTGAGCCACCCAGTGGACTCTGAGATCCCTTCTCACCCCCTCTGACATCCTACTGTTGCTCTGGGTTCTCCAGATACCACCTCCAGGACCCTCCCCTGCACTTCAGCTCTCCCTGCACCAGGTGGCTGCAGCACCTTCCTGTGCCCCAAGCCCTCGTGTTCCACTCTGCCCTGAGCTTTGCCCAGGTGAGAGTAGTGGCAAGATCTCCATAAAGAGATCTACTACAGTCTTACCTGTCTTACCCACAGTTACACTCAGTGGACTGCATTCTGAAAATATTAAAAGGAAAATTCCAGAAATAAGCAACTTGTAAGTTTTAAATCGCATGCTATTCTAGGAGCACAATGAAGTCTTGCACCAGACACAGGGCTTGGTGACCCAGTCTCACAGGTCAAGTGGTGGAAGGACTCAAGGTCAGCCTGGCAGCCACCCACTAATGCCTTCTGATGGCTCAAGAGCCTGCCGGTGCAGGACTGAAGATGCTGAGGTATCCAGTGCCAGGAGCCCAGACATCCTGGGGCTCGTAGGAGGGACAAGCACCAGCCAGTGAGTGCCTAATCTCCTATCTTGACTTCAAACACCCTCCCTTTGAGCAAACTATTTATTTTTTCCAAACATTTAACCTACTTCAAATCACCCAGCCAGGATGAAGACCCAGCAGGGAGGTCTCAGATGCTGAGTAGCAGAGAAAGCTACCCAGTATCTGAGACCTCCCTGCTCACCTGACCTCATGCAGGGCCCAGCCCTTCTTCAGCCACAGCCATTTCCCCCAGAGCCTCCTGGCAAAAACATGGCTGTCTCACGGAGGACATGTGGTATGAGATCCTGCTAAATGCCAATCAACTGCAGACCTGTGGGTGGTGGATACGTATGATGACGCCCAAATAGGCCAGAGCAAACCTGGCCAGCACCAAATCGGGCAGTGATTATTGGTCTCTGAACCATCATTGTTTTCAAGTACCTCTCCTCATTTCTCTGTCACATGTCAGGCTCGGACCCATCCATGTCAGCCCCCCTCAACTTGGCAGAGGGAAAGACAGCTTGTCCCACTCACAGGGACAGATCTTGGCTAGCACACACCCCCATCAGCAATTTCACTGTCACCTTATATACCTGTGGATCCAAATGCCCAACCAGGAAATCCTAAGGGTACCACCACCTGCATAATTTTAAATGCAGTCATTTAAAAATATTTTATGGAACTCTCAAAAAGAAGATGGCAAGTGGGTGACACACACATCTTCTTCTTCCAGACACTCACTGGAATGATAGTAACCTTAAAATATGCACGTACGTAAATCTGCCACAAGTAAGAAGATGGGAGAGATGTCAAGAGGCTTCAAAGGGTTCCTGGAAACAGCCAGCAGGTCCAGGGGTGGGTGTGACATGCAGATGAAAAGTCCCCTGGCTCTGGAAGGGGAAGGATTTGCCCCTTGAAACCCACAAGTAGAGCACAAGCCATGAAGGTCAGCCGGAAGCACCAAGCCCAGAGGCCGGGCCCCCATGACATCCTGCCGTTCCCTTTCTTACCTTTTATTGTGGAAAATTTCAAGAAGATGTAAAAATGAAAGGAAAAATACAATGAATCACCAAGTGCTCATCACCCAATCTCAATGATGATTAAAATGGAGCCCATCTCTTCCCACCTCATCCTCCCTCCCTCCCCTCGCCCTCTCTCTCGCTCGCTCTCTCTCTCACACACACACACACAAACACGTTCACATTCACACAGTTGGAGAAAATCTCACAAACTATGTGATTTCACTAAATACTTCAATATGTATCACTAACCCATAACCACAAACAATTTTACACTGTTAGTGGGATTGTAATTAGTAAAACCACTGTGGGAACCAATACGGAGGTTCCTCAAAAGGCTAGACACAGAACCACCACATGACGTAGCTATCCCACTCCTCAGTATTTATCCTAAAGAACTGAAGTCGTCCTGCCACACTGGTACATGCAAACCCATATAGAGAGCAGCACAATTTGAGCCAAATTAAGGAACCAGCCTATCCATCAACAGATGAATGGATAAAGAACATGTGGTCTATATACACAATGGAGTTTTATTGAGCCATAAAGAAAAACGAAATAATATAATTTGCAGGGAAATGGATGGGACGAGAGACCATGATATTAAGCGATATCAGTCAAACTCAGAAGGTCTAGGGTCGTATGTTGTCTTGTATATGTGGAAGCTAGAGAGGAAAAAGGAAGAGAAATGGTCTCATGAAAATCAAAGGGAGATCAGTAGAGGAAAGATGCAAAAGGGTAGGAGGTTGGAGGGGAGCTAGGGGGTTATATAGGCAAAATATATTGTTATATTGTGCACACATACAAATATGTAACAGCAAATCCCATCATTACATATAACTATAATACACCAATAAAACATGTGGGAGAAAAAAACCTAACCACAGGGGCTGAAGGAGGCTCAGCAAGAGATTAATTGCCTAACACATGTGAGGACTTGGGTGCAATCCCCAGCACCACACACACACACACACACACATACATACACACACAAAACCACAATACCCATTACCACCCTCCAAAATTAATATTTATTCCTTAATATCATCAAATACCCAGTCAGTGTTGAAACTTCCCCAACTGTCTCCACTTTTAAGGTGGGTTTTTAATCTAATCAGAATCTAAGAGTATTGACTCATTCTTAAATGTAAACAAAGATTTCTTGACATTGAGGAAAATATTCAATATGAATAAAGACCAGGATAAATGAAAAGAAAAAAAATGGCCCTGGGAGAAAATAAATTTAGGACAGAGAAGACAATTTCAAAAAAAATAAAGTCTTGTTTATATACTGCCCAGAGAGATTTGAAGAGATAACTTTATCCACTGGATATTAATAGAATAGTACAAAAATGGAAACTTGGGCTGGGGATGTAGCTCAGTAGCTCAAGTGGTAGCGCGCTCGAGTGGCATGTATGCGGCCCCGGGTTCGATCCTCAGCACCACATACAAACAAAGATGTTGTGTCTGCCGAAAACTAAAAAATAAATAAATAAATATTTTTAAAAAATCTCTCTCTCTCTGTCTCTCTCTCTCTTAAAAAAAATCTTTTTTAAAAAATGGAAACTTCCTTTAAAAAGAAATAATATAAGCACATACACATCTCATTTATTCTTTCTTTTAAAATATGTTTTGTAGTTGTAGATGGACAGAATGCCTTTATTTGCTTATATTTATTTGGTGCTAAGGATTGAACCTAGTCCCTCACACATGCTAGGCAAGTGCTCTGCCACTGAGCTATAGCTCAGCTACATTCTTAATTAATATAATTTATATTGCATATAAAATATATGTGTAAAAAATATATATATAAAATGAATCAGGGAATATTTTATCCAAGGAAAGAGCCAAAAAGACAAATAGAAACCATGTAAGAAAAAAAATAAAATATCTAACAAAAACAGTCCAAGAGTTTCAACATCTGATCACTTAAAGTTCCATCCTGAATGAGAGAAAATCCTCAAACCTGAATTTGAGGGTCATGGCTGAGAGGACCACAAAATGTTCAGACTGGTTAATAAGGATATTCTATAATATTCTATCCTGAGAATTTCCAGGTATAAGAATTTCCAAAAGTCCTCCCAGGAGAAGTGTCAGGCTGCCTACTGGGAACTGAGTATCAGATCAGCTCAGACTGCTTGACAGGGGGCCCAGACGGGGATGTGAGTGAGG